CAGTCGGAGTTCGCAGGACGCTAATTTCTCCGATGTGAACCTGCCGTTTTTGCCTTGTGTCGTGTGCAGTTCTCGTGTTCCCGTATTAAAGTGCATAGTTAACGTTCGTGCGCTCGACGGGGCGAGTGTGTGCGTGGTGGACGTGGACTGCTCCGAGGATACTTCTAACGAGCCGGTGCCGCTGTCACTGGATTGGGTTTCGTCGTCCAAGAAGCTTTTCTCTGCCTCCTCCTCCTACTTGACACTGAGAACTTCTTCACGGTTTGTGTGTGCTCGGTGGTTGAATGATTCTGATTGAGCTGTCTTCGGTCGTGACAGTGCACTCTCACAACCGCTAATGTGCGTCGTAAATGGTGTATGTAGCTTAGGGACTAATGAAAAAAAAAACTGTTTTGGCATTTTACGAATCTTTCTGAATTTGCCTCAATCTTCCCCAAAAACGCGAGCATTTGTCAGTGTACTACAAAAATTAGGATGCGAGTTGCCCGCGGTATTAATTTTGCATGCATTTTTGTAGCGCAGCACGGCAAAAGAAATGCAGCCGCCGTCGTACTCACCGTCAATCACAGCCTTCGTTTGCCGCGGGAGACGGCAAGAAAGCACTCTCTTGCCGACGGCGACCGCATTCGTTTTAAAGGCTGAACCGCATGTAATCGATTTAGCGGGCGACGAGCTACAGATGGAGACAGCGACGAGCGACGGCGATTTCTCACGGTCACCCGTCGCGGCGTTCGGTTTTTTATTTTCTAGGAAACGTCGCTCATCGCCTTGGCCGCTTGTTCCCGTCGCTTTCATGCGGTTCGCCTCGTTGCGCAACTGACCTAGCGACTGCGAAGAACTGACCTGCTGATACACGACGGCAAGTTTGCGCACTCAAATGGTCAGTATAAAAGACTTGAGGGCAATCGAGGAATTTAGCGGGTAGTGGCCGACTGGAAGAAATTGCAAAAGTTAGAAGTGTTTATGAGGCCCACCCACTAGTGCCCCACTGGTTTCCTCTGTTTGACGCTTGTCTAAGACTTCCTGATCTTTAATATAGTGAAAGCAGCCAACATCCATACATAATCAAAATTATGTCTTTCATACACAACACACTTGAAATGTGCTTGCGTTAGGAATTTCTTTAAGTGCATGCCATGAAGAATTAGTACACTCCGTTCCCGCAAAAGTGTATACTGCCCAGAGTGAAGACATGAGTGCGATACGAGTGCGAGTACAGTCATTATGTTCATCAAGGACTGATCACCAGGGCCGGTTTTCTCGAAGAGATGGTAAACAAATTTTGGTAAACCACGGTGCCTAGGAAGGAAAAAGTACCTAGGTACTGTAATAAACGGCTGGATATGGAACAACAATATTATTTTTGATCGGGCAGTAAGATGCGAGTTCTATCGGTGAAACAAGCCCGTCATTTTGTTTATCCTCTTTTTCCGCTGGTTGTTATCGCTCTAGCATGGTATTTTAATTCAAAATATAGGAATGTTGTACTTGAAGACCAATTTATTTGCTTCAGATGGTACGAAGAAATTTTAGCTACTATGCTAGAGTTTGTCGACGAATATTCGAAAATGTAAGAAACATTTCCTTCAATATGTTTTGCCATAACCAACGCAGAACTTTCCCGTGTGCCTTCCAGTCTGGCAACGCCGGTGCAGTAGTCTGGTTTTTGTTCTTTGCGACGCACGTTTCTGCGATTCCTGCTGATCTTAACTGTTTGCCCTCTCTTTTGTTTGCCCAACCGATCCACCGGTGACGAAAAGCTAAGCTTCTCGTCACCGTTGAATTGCTGGCCACCGGGGATATGTAGAAACCTCGATGCTGCCGGCAAACTGTCGGCCACTTACACCGTGCTGTCGGCGCACTGCGAACAAAAAAAGTACAATGTCCTAGCTGTTCACCCGGAACAAAGACTTTATCGAGGATAACCCCTATTTTCCGCAGAGTAATCGCTGCTTACGTGTTGGCGTGCATAGTGTAACAAATTAAACGTGTTAGTATAAATATATACAAACACTCGTTCGCAAAACATTTTTTTACTCACCATAAAAACACTTGCAAGGCCGTCATATGTTTGGGATCCCGGACTGCTGAAGAGTAATGCGTTAGCAGAATGTTGATGTCGGTTAGTTTAGTAGTCCGTCTGAACTACCGCTTTGCTTGACGTGCTAATAGGTTGACGGTGCGTCATTAATATAACAGCCGGATTAGAATGAATGTTCAGCGGAACCAAGCAGAACTATTAGCCCTCATCAAGCGACGTCGCGGCCATTTTGCTTGTAGGTACTGCTCCTCCCACGGCGCCCCTGCTCTCCCAGTCACGTGACCTGGAATGTCCCCATCTAGGGACAATAGTTAACTTTAACCCACGGTTCGCGTTCGAGAAAACGAGCCCAGGAGAGCATCCATCCACCACCTCCATCATCATGTATATAACATTCACTGTGTGTATATAGAATTCGAACTTTAAATTGTGATTTTCCATGTATTAAAGGAAAAAAAAGAAAGCGGGCAGTGGCCGTGTGGGCTAAAGCGTCTCCGTTCGAAAGCTTGCGCTGGGAACCACCTCCTGGGTTCGATCCCCCCTGCCCCGCCCGTAAATTAGCGATTAGAGTGATTAAGGAAGCGTGTGTTTGTGTTGAATGCATTGTGTCGATTGTGTGCTAAAAATTAGGGTTTATATGTACCTACTTGCAAATGTGGAACAATTGAAATAAACTATGAATAATCGGCTTCCTTTTTTGTGTACGTTCAATTAGATGGTTACTAGGGCCACCTGGATTAGTCATTTCCAGTTTCAATTTTTGTTGCGCCTGCCACCTGGTGGTAAGTGGCATAACCCCGCACCTTTTCTTTTACCGGAAATCACGTGACTAGTTGCGTTTCCGGTCTTCCGTCGGGAGGTAGCAATAGTTACTAGCTAGAGGTAGTAAAATACATAAATTCTACTTTGAGGCTAGCAACAATTACTAGATTCTTGACCTAGTAACCGTTATTAGCTTGACCGTTACTACCTAAGGTTACTAGGTACCTAGTAACCTATGTGACAAGCGGTTACTAGCTCTTACCTCGTAAATACTACTAGCTTTTTTTAAAGAGTGTATAGTCACTTCACGACGATCGGACGGAATCCTGCGTGTTTTGGGACAGATGTAAAAGACAGGTGCTTTTTTTGCACAGCTTCAAAGCAAATGAACGAACTTGTCTATTCCGTATTCACACCCAGGACCCGACCATATCAGCTATTTTTCGCGAAGACCCGGAACACAAACCGGGAAGGTTTTTTGGAGGTTAAAGGAAATAATCTTCCAAGAACGTCGAACTGCCCGCGTCACAGGCTGCTTTACGTTCACTCTTTTCGTTCGTTTCCTGCGAAGGCCGACCAGGCTACGAGCCCTGGTATTCCCTGGTTCTCACAGCGGAAGATAACACACAACGGGCAAGCATCCTGAAGAGGCAAATAAAGTAAAAACTTCCCAGAAAAGCCGGTGAACTCCGAATGCAAAATGCAGCTGGGAAGTCCCGCTGACCGGGTTTCCACAGCTCAGGCAGGTGGCAGAAATTTCTGGCTGATAGGGTTCGCTGGGTTCGCAAAATGGCCGCGGCCAGGGCCGGTTTTCAAGGTAAACCCATTTTGGTAAATCACGGTGCCTAGGAAGGAAAAAGAACCTAGGTACTGTAAGAAACGACTGGATATAGAACAACTATAATTATTTTTGATTGGGCAGTAAGATGCGCCATCTATCGGTGAAACAAGCCAGTCATTTTGTTTATCTCTTTTTCCGCTGGGTGTTATCGATCTAGCATTGTATTTTAAGTCAAAATATAGTAATGCTCCACTTGAAGACCAATTTATTTGCTTCAGATGGTACGAAGAAATTTTAGCTTCTATGCTAGAGTTTGCCGACAAATATTTCCAAATGTAAGAAATCTTTCCTTCAATATGTTTCGCCAAAAACAACGCATAACTTTCTTGTGTCCTTTCCAGTCTGGCAACGCCGGTGTTGTAGTCTCGTTTTTGTTCCTTACGACGCACGTTTCTGCGATTCTTGCTGATCTCAACTGTTTGCCCTCTTTTCCTTTTGCCCAACCGATCCACCGGTGACGAGGAGCTAAGCTTCTCGTCACGGTTAAATTGCTGGCCACCGGGGATATGTAGAAACCCTCGATGCTGTCGGCATACTGTCGGCGCACTGCGAACAAAAATAAAAACACTTGCAAGGCTTATGTACCGTCGTATGTCTTGGATCCCGGACTGCTGAAGAGTGATGCGTTCGCGGAATGCTGCCGTCGGTTAGTTTAGTAGTCCCTCTGAAATACCGCTTTGCTTCACGTGCTAATAGGTTGACGGTGCGTCATTAATATAACAGCCGGACTGAAATGAATGTTGAGCAGAACCAAGCAGCGACGTCGCCGCCATTTTGCTGGTAGGTACTGCTCCTCCCTAGGCGCCCCTGCTCTCCCCAGTCACGTGACCTCGAATTCCCCCTTCTAGGGACAAAAGTTAACTTTAACCCACGGTTCGCGTTCGAGAAAACGGGCCCAGAAAGCTCTTTTTGCAAAGGTCTATTACGTCCATTTCTCGTAATCACTTCTGCGTAACGAATGTACCACACCGCAGGTTACGAAGTTAACTATGCTGCCGGAGTACTTGTTCTCTATAAAATATAGGAAAGTTCCATTTTTATAGTACAGCCTTACGATTATAAAACCCCTGTAAATCTAAAATTAAACCATTCTCTAAAGGAAAATACCAGCTCATAATATAAATAATTACACCGTGTGCCTAGAACGTCAAGATACTCGCTTAGAAAACAAGACAATCACAAGAACTATTTAATTGTTTTTAATGTAAAAATACGAGCATAACCAGGCTCGTTTTTTTTTTTCCTTTGAAGAACCAACCCACTAATCAAGTTGCTTGAGCACACATATCGCTACAGAAATGCCGTAACTATGCGCAACACATCATCTTTAAAGACCCCTAAGAAATTTATCCCAATCTATGGCACACCCGAGGTCGCGTCAGACGCAAAGAGGGCACTGTACAGGACCCCGGTGAGGGGAAACCTTCCCAGGCCACAAGCTCCGCAATAGTCGTCCCATGTCAGGTCCCAGACGCCTAGGCAACCCGCGTGAAGGGTCGCGTTGGACAACGCTGCCAGAACCCTTTCATACGTCTTGGGGTCGGTGTATGCCATCAGGAGGGACCCATCGACGGCAGTCACTCCGTACTTGGTGTCGCCCACCACGTCATATCCGGCATGGCACACGTCGTCCAGCGAAAACCTCCCGGCCCGGTTCGAGCCCGGAAAAGGCCTCCCCGGACCGAGCGCCATGTTTCCGGTGCCGTTGATGGGCATGGCGAAGGACCAGCCGGCCAGAGAGGTCATGTAGCACAGGTGGTACCTGCCGTCGCGTCGCAGCACGTTGTCCCTGGTCTCCCAGAGCACGCGCGGGTACTTGAACAGCAAGTCGGGCGTGAAGGGAGAGAAGGTCTTAGAAAAGGACGGCTGCTGAGACGCCGTGACGGGCGGCATAACCAGGATAGAATAGGGTGCCAGGAGCGCCACCAGCGCTGGCATGTCGAACCGCTCTCGCAGCTGCTGCTCAAAGGGTACCACGGTGCCCACCAGTTTTCCCGTCAGCCTGTACAGCTCCTTCATGAGCCTCAGCAGTTTGACGTGAAGCTGGGACTCCTGCACTGAAGGGTAGGTCCAGTACAGGAATACCCCCTGGAGATCGTAGGTCTTGAGCAAGCTAAGCACGTTCATGGCCAGCATCAGGGCTGACTTCTCGTCCCGGCAGGCAACTGAGAACTTGCCGTTGGACAGATCGTCGTCCCCGAGGGCCAGCCAGAAGCGGGTCGAGTACGTCCTCGGCGGGAGGTCGCCCAGGAACCGCAGCATCTCCGGGCTTCCGCTTACGTTGAACAAGGGGTCCAGGCCGAGGCAGCAGTAGACGAGGTCCGTGCAAAGCTCTGTGGGCAGCTCGGTGGCCAGCAGCGTCGTGGAGTTGCACGTACGCCGTCGGCCCGCCGGCTGGTCTCGATTGTGGTGTACCATGCACATGGAACGGGGTGCCGGATACTCCGACGCCTGCGTGGATGTGGTCGCCGACCAGGAATCATCGCGCACTATTTGAGCCACGGAGTCTTTGGCAGCTGCCTGCGAGATCCAAAACTGCTATTAGCGTCCTTAATTTAATGTGGCAAGTATATGCAATACGTTCTCTTTTTTTTTTAATACGTACATTTTTAGAGATTCTTTATATTTAGGATTTAAAAAAAAAAGAGAGTGGCAACAATAAACAAAAACACTTACGCTTCCTTTTTTTTATACAGGCAAGCCAAACACAGTAGTCACACACAAACGGCTGTGCATTTGAGCTACCTTGAAGCAGAGCTGACAATTCTTTATTTTTTTATTAAGATACTTTTCTTCTTCAAGATCAAATGTATACGCAAGCATTGACTCGAAATTATCTGTAAGGTTTCTTTTGTGGGGGATTTCTGATAAAGTGTAAACTGTCAAGTGTCACCAAAATCAAAGAACATCCAATTTTTTCAGGATTTTAAAAGGGCTGTTTAGAACTATTGTGGTATTTTTATTGTTACCTTTCATAAGAAAAGTCAAGATAATTTATTTTGTTTACTTTTAAATTCGAACGTCTTTGACGTACAACTGAGGAACAATACTTGGAGCTCTATAAGAGCAAAATGGGTTCAATACTATAAAGAGTGTTACGATGAGATTGTTGAATATGAATGACACTCGAAAAAACAATATTTTTTAAAAACTGTGAACAACCTATTTCAGGTTGACCCTCACCATACTCCGCTCACCCTCAAAAAGGCACTTCAAGGAAGAAAATATTTTTAAAGGACATAACTAGGACACGCAATTCTTAACATACTTTTTCCACGAAAAAAAAAAATTGCGCAATATTTGCGTTATTAGAAGCAATTTAGGTGCAAAAGGAGAAGGTCGCAGCCCCCTAATCCCCGCCCCGTGCTTTTATATCTCTGATTGGCTGGAGAGATGATTCACGTGTGAGTGGTTGGTTGTAAATTTGCATCTCCCTGCTGTAATAGTATCTTAGTCAACTATTTTTGTTATGTTTCAGAAGCAAATATTGAAGATGGAGTCATTATAGCTTTCAAATGTATTCTGAGATTGCTTCTCCCACTTTGGTTTGAAAGGTTAACAAACATGGCACCCGGTGTCTGCGGAGTGCTGAGCGAGTGAAACTCGTTGAACTCGTCAGTTGTTATGAGTACGAGTGGTTTTGAGTTCACAAAGGTGTTTAGAGGAATATATCCTCAACCGACGTAGTTCGCAACAGACAGCTGTCGCAAGTATTCGACTTCGGAAGCGCAGTGCGGACGCTTGTTCCCGCAGCGGGACTGGCCTAAGCCTCACGTTCCAGATCAGCAATTTTCATAGATCTGGCTTGAGTTCTTTCCTTGCGCGTGTTGATGCTGAATGAAGATGAATGTTTCCGCAATAGAAGCCCCACTGCTCTGTGGATTGTGCAACCGTCGGGATTGCGACCATGGTTTCAATAACGAGAGGATACCTGCACAGGTGAGAATTTGCGAGCCATTTAGGGTGGCAATCGGGCGTCCGGCTTACATAAAGTTTGTCTAGTTATGTTCCCGCCACTGCGCCTTGAAAGGCAAGCTTTTAAGTTTTACAGCGCCACTGGCCTACCAAAACGAATATTTTTACGTGTCGTTTTAATTGTTCGTCGTTACGCTCACCTAGTTTGCTCGAGAATGTCATGTGAATAATAATAATAATAATAACAAACGAGTAACGCTAAAAAAACTTCATATTCAATTCTACAATTTTTTTTTTTTAGTTTTCTTGGTCGCTTATTACGCTTACTGATAGACGTTGACAAACACTTGTATTGAAGCGTGTCTCGTGCACAATGGAACACTAGAACGCCACTTTCATGGTCGCGTCATCTGAGCGTTGCAGAAGTTCCTAGAAGGGGGACGAATAGCTGCCGGACGGACGCGAAAATGGACGCCGACGCGCAGCTTTCGTGTCTCCGTCTCACGGCATTGCAGGCGACAGTAGACGGCGGTCAAATAGCACACGATGCAGGAGGCTACCACTTGTCTGCTCGCACGACTAGCAGGTGGTGTTAGACTCCAGACTAGACGCACCAGATGGAGCGAAAGGGAGTCACTACTCGTGTTGGCCTGTTCGGTCGACCAGGTAAGCCAGTCCACTAGTAATGCGCGGGTCCACTGATTTGTGGGTGTGAGCCAGAGCGGACTATTACCTTCGCCTAAATTGCGTCTAACGGCGTAAATATTAATTTTTTTTTTTGTCGTGGAAAATTTATCTTAAATTTACGTGCCCCATCTGTGCCCTTTAAGACAAACCTTTTTTCCCTTGCACGGTCCCTTTAAGCTATAACTGCAGCCAAGGCTACACGCTCGAGCTAGCCCGCGCTTTAACCTTTGAGACATACATTTGTAGCGCGATCGCTCGTTCTGCGGAAGAACGCTTCAAAGCAGCGATTTCGAGCTCCCGTGGTTATGGCATTGACTGCTACCTGAGCTTAAGGGTGAACAAAGTATGGGGAGCTTTGGCATAGCATTACCGACGGCCACCGTGGGCAAGGAAACGCTCTCGGCGCGCACTGAAGAGCATGCTTGAAAATCACAGCATGAATTTCCGTTAGCAATACCACTCTGTGCTGTAGCCTGCGAAAACGCTGCGCTAAAACTCCCAAATGTCATGGTTGCGTCTCGCATGGAAGTTCCAGAGTAGATTCAGAAACACACCACAGGATGGACAACTACAAAAACCATAGCCCTCACAGGGGCCACAAACGTCACACCTCTTTCTTATCGAAGATACGTCGCGGTAGCATGCCGTGGGCCAGGCCTAACTGGCTGCCGTTAGAGCCATCGGCAGCGTGGTCGGTGGCCGCCGAGTCCCCTCGGGCGGCGTTGTCCGCCTCCAAGATGTCGAACTTGCCGCCTCGCTTCCGGGCCGTAACGCCCTGTTGGCAGAGAATACCGATATAAGTATATGCGCATGCTGGAATTTCATTAGGTGTGCCAGCATGGCGTACCAAATATAACCAGTACGCATGATTATGAATGGCATTGACAAGGCGAGATATCTGAACGTGTTATTTCGAGCTCAGGCTCAGAACAAGCTCTGAACTTAGAGCCTAATCGCGTGGAATAGACGTCTCGAAAGTGCCTTGGAGGCTCACCGTCAGCATGCTGTCGGCGGCAACGAACTCGTATGTCCTCCATTTAATATCCCGTATACGCAAGTTGCACTTAAGTTATTTCAGATTCTTTTTTAAATTAGTTATTCTCTACAGTGTAAAGGCGAGGAGCAAAAGACAAATGGTACACTTTTTATGATTAAACAAGGTATCATTACGAGTATAGTATGGCAGGTTTTATTGGACGAAATGTCACAGGAGTGCCCTCTCTGCCGTGTTGGTTTGACAGTGTGGAAGTGGTCCACCGATGCAAGCAATCAGAATGAATGAACACTAAAACTTCAAAACGACGTCACGAGCAACCCTGCATAGCTATGTTCGAAGCTCACGACCTCTGGTGTCGTAAATGTCTATCATTCAATCCCCCCCCCCCCCTTAAAATATAATAACAAAGAAAAAAATTGAGAATGGTTTCAAATGAGGTTTATTTAAAACTACCAACAACAGCAGATCATCAAAGTGTGAGTGGGTTGCCACTTGGACAAAGCATAGAAAGGCAGGAATCAAGAAAAAAAAAAAAGAAAAAAAAACTGGGGTTCGCCGAAAGTGAGGGATAGCGGGCGTGATTAGAAGAGATATCTGTAAACATTTGGCTTTTAATTGACTTTATATTGGAGCTCCTTGTTCACAACGCACACTTAGAACAAGCTGCAACCTTACATCAACCAAGAACAGCAGTTATGACATTATGGAATGCGCGTTTAGAAAAGGTCATGGCGTTCAGTAACGATAGGCCAAACAATGGCTATCAGTGATTGCTACCTACACTCAATTCCTATGTTTGCGATTATCTCTTCAGTTGTAAAAGAGGAAGCAGAAATTATTTTTCTTCAGTTCCAATGTTTTTCCAATGACATTTATAGACAATTGCAAGTATTGCGCCCGACCGGTGCCCCATGCGTACAAACACGTGCAGCATGCAAGTGAACATAGTTTTCTCAGGCTTGCATTTCCATGGGCTTTTGCGCACAAGCAGAGACATGGCGCTGGCCAGGTACCCTGCTTGCAATTGTGTATTAGCGGCGAGATGTTTCTGTGGCGCCCTCGTTTGGTTACCTTTCGTGACGTCATTAACTTGTGAACAACAAGTTTGATGTTGTTTGTAATGAGCATGGTGGAAGCCTCAAATCATAGGGCTCTCAAAGCAACACTGCCAACACCGTCATAATTGAAGTTCTTACATTCCTCTTATTTCCGTCGATGATACATCCTTTGCTGACGTCATAGTCAGCACTCGGCCAAATGTAATGAGCCGACCACAGCGACGCTTTCGATCGCTCACGTCGCCAATAAGAACATTCAATGGGCGCCATATTTAATGGCGCTGTTTAGAGCACATGCTCAGAACGAGATAATATAGGGTATAAGGTGTATTCACCGGACGCCATATTATAGGGAGCTGTTTAAAGCGCACGCTCAGAACGAGGTAACATAATTAGGCTACTAAGACGGGCAGTCTTGATGGTGTAGACTGCACGTTGCAAAATAACTGTGGAAGCTCGGCATCAGCACGTGCTCAGCAGTCGCGAACACAGCTATATCCGCCAGTAAATAACCCCATAGAGAGTATTTGTAGCGTCCAAGCGCTAAAGCCTCTTCATGTTTTAGATGTAGCGCAAGGTGCGTGGATGCACGAAGCATGTGTAAATTACAGCCCTTAGCATGATCTTAGCAGCACAGCGCTGCACTGAGCTAGATTTCAGACGACATGTTCTTTTTGGAAGTGGCGCGCGGCACGTGTCTCGATCATATCCACAACAATGAAGGGCGCCACTTTTCCCATAGTAGAGGGATGTTACCAAGCCCTAGGCAGCCTCATGTCTGGCGTGGCAAGTCACGCAGATGTGACGAATCACCGCGTGCTAGCCACGGCACTCAAGCGACAAACGCACACAATCTCGGACCGAACAGCTCGAAACGTGCAGTGACCAGCTTGGTAGCAGGACCGTCATTTCGGACAGTCTCCTTTGTTGAGTATCTTTTCTTTTTTTTTAATTGTTGTAATAAATATTGTTTTGTACTTAGAACAATAAACGTATTCCTGTCGACCACAAATTGATGACCCGAAACATACACCACTTCCAAAGACCATCCTTTGCTGTACCAAGGTATCCAGCAACCAGTTTTTTTCGCCATGGCAAATGCTGGAGTTCCTGCTGCTGCGGAACTGTCACCTGTCCACCTCCTCCTGCCTCCATACTATCCAGTACATCCAAAAGATCTGGTTCACCCAGGGCCCGTTTCCTCGAACGCGAACCGTGGTTTAAAGTTAACTATTGTCCCTAGAAGGGAGAATTCTAGGTCACGTGACTGGGAGAGCAGGAACGCCGTCAGGTGACTGGGAGAGCACTGCGACGTCAAGGACCATCGCATTGACTTCGACAACGCATGCATCGTTGACGTTGAGACAAATCCTCGTAAAAGACTGTTCCTAGAATCAGGGCATATTCAAACAACGCCACAGAACATCAACAGATCTCTAGGGGCCTTACCATCCGCCTATGTGAATGGGCTTCGTCACATTATTGAAAAAGGCAGAACCGTAGAAGAAGAAGACCAGACACACGCCGTAGAAGAAAAAGAAAAGGGCACTGCTTCTCAACGGCCATAGCCGTTGTCGCCCCTGAAGGAGAGGCCGAATTGGCCTTGAAACGTTGGGTCCTTACAGAAGGGCTTGGTTGGTGTTCGAATTTTTTAATATTAAGTCCACAATCGCAACCTACCGTAAACGGGCGCTCCCATAAAGCATTGGCTTAAGGTGATCTTTACGGTGAATCTTCCTGGTTGCCGACGTAGCGTACCTAATACTAAAGGCCGATTTTCTCCGACACCTTAATGTCCTAGTGGACAAGCAGCGGTTGTGCCTTGTGGATGCCACGACTCACTTAGTAGTCCAAGGCATACCATCCACCTCACGGAACTGGCAACATTGCACTCCAGCCCTAACAAAGTTCTAAGATCTTCTCCAGCGGTTCGCCATGTTTACACGGTCTGCCACCGTTCGCCAACCAGTGAAACACGATCATGATGTCTGGGGAGATCGGCTCATAATTTTGAAGGCTGAGTTCAAGCATATGCTTGAGCTCGGTGCAGGCAGGGCTTGGTTGAATCAATGAGTATCACTCCTCCATGTGGTGCAAAAGAAATCCCCAGAGGTTTGGCGGCCTTGCGGTGACTACCGCACAGTGAACAATTCAACCGTTCTAGACCGATATCCTCTACCATACATTACGGATTTCATTGCATCGCTGGAAGGGACGCCCATTATTTCAAAAGTTGATTTCGTGAAAGCATACCACCAGATCCTTGTGGAGGCATCCAGCATACAGACGACAGTGAAGACAGCCATCATCACATGTTTTGGTCTCTGAGTTTGTCGGGATGCCCTTTGGCCTTCGTAACGCAGCCCAGACATATCAGAGGTTCGTCGACAGCGCTACCCGTGGGCTGACGTTTTGTTTCGCGTACGACGGCGACATCCTAGCGCCCAGCAGTGACGCCGAGCAACTTCTCGAACATCTGGAAATCTTGTTCCAGCGCCTAGCGGAGTACGGGCTCCTAATCGACAAAGCCAAACACGAGTTTGGCGCATCTCAGCTGGAGCTTTTTGGCCACCACTTTGACTCCAAGGGCATCCGCCCACTTCCATTAAAGGTAAATGCTGTCAAGAACTTCCGTGCGCCAACATCGCGCAGGAAGCTTAGCGAGTTCCTAAAAGAATCCACAGTTTTTTTGTTTTGTCTTGTTTTTTGCGGTGTGCATTCTGCACTATTGAGATTACCGGTCTTAGCAGCCTAGCAATGTGCTGCATCTCAGACATCATCTTGTTCGCGCGTGTGCGTCTGGTGTCGGACTAACGACGACGACAACCAACAGACAGTCTCGAGAACAACGCGCGAGGAAATCACTGCAATGGAACTGATGGCCTAGCCCAACTAGCTGCCGATGCCCGGTCTGTTGCAAGTGCACATCTCCTGTGGATACTTGTACATAGATTAAAGAGCACTAGTAACGTCTCTAATAATGTCTAGCAATATCCCATCCTCGTCGCCATTGCTAGACATTATTAGAGACGTTACTAGTGCTCTTTAATCTATGTACAAGTATTTACAGGAGATGTGCTCTTGCAACAGACCGGGCATCGGCAGCTAGTTGGGCTAGGCCATCAGTTCCATTGCAGTGATTTCCTCGCGCGTTGTTCTCGAGACTGTCTGTTGGTTGTCGTCGTCGTTAGTCCGACACCAGACGCACACGCGCGAACAAGATGATGTCTGAGATGCAGCATTCCTCCCTCCTTAAGGTGAATATCGGTCAACAGGTTTCTTGGGTCTTGTCGACCGCCGAACAGCTGGGACGGCCTCGTCTTCCGCTGCGTCAGGCTGCGCTGGTGCGGCTGCATCTTGATGGGGTGGTTCAGGCGTCTTGCTCACCGGTGGCGTCTTGCTCACCGGTGGTGCAGGTGCCGTGCTCTCTCTTGGACGAATTTGGTCCATGTGCCGTTTCAGCTCTCCTGCTGACGTCTTGACCGTGATCATGCAGGAACCCGTTGTTTCTTTAACTGTCCCCGGAAGCCACTTTTCCCCTTCCCCAAAGTTGCGTGCCCAGACGGAGTCGCCAGGGCAAAGCTTACTCGCAGTATCTCCCTCTGAGCAGAGAGGAAAAGAGACAGGAGGCGGAAGGCAGGTATCCAGGCGGGAGCGGATTTGGTATCCTAAAAGCCGCTGGGACGGAGATCTTGCATCCTCCAATGGCGTCCTACGGTA